AGGTTTTTTGCATCTTGAGGAGGTGCCCTCAAGTTCAGTACTCTTATTACTACTTTATTCTAAAAAATAAGAGGAAGGTGTCCCATTCTAGATCTCAGGTAACTCAACAAATTCATCCATTGCTTCAAGTCCAAGATAGTCATGCTGGATTCCTCCATAATTCTTTCCCCAGATCCTCCAAATTGGTTCATGGCTCTCAACTTTCAAGATGCATTCTGGAAGTTCCTCCATTTCATAGTAGGAAATACGCATTACTAATAAACCCTATACAATAGTCCACTGTTTGGACTTTCCATGGACCAAGAATGTTTACCAAATATCTAGCATAGTATGCCAGCTCATCTAAGAGGACAAGGACAGTACATTTACTGATATCACAATGATTGGCTGACCCCAGGCAAATCTCGTTGACAAGTAACCAATAATTTTGTTTATTCAATTGACCTACTTACCACCCTGGGATGCAAAGTAAACTCTGAAAAATCCTGTTTTACTCCTGCTCATACAATGGAGTTCATAGGGGATTTAATAGGTCATGATGTCAAACAACTAACTCAGTTAAAGTTTTGATGAAGTAATACAGTTAAGCAAAACTCAATAGAGAAAATAAACATACATACCAACTCTGTAACTGGAGAAATAATGGAAGTTTTACTTTAGTTCACTTCTGACTAACTTCAGTGATCTCACCTCTTATATACTAGTTTAGAAAAAAAAATCCTTTGATACGCTTGATCTTATTTTGAATCAATAAACCAATGATATTTAGAACTAACTTACCCCTACTGGGACAATGACCACAATTAGATCTTAATGCTTAAACATTAATCTATAGATTAATGTTTTGCTGTTACATTGATTACATAACACACCTCCTAAACCACATGTTCCTTGTCTATAAATATCTGTAATTGATAAAATAAATAAAGGATGTTCATTTTGTCAATTACTAATTCTGTTTATGACAACATGCATCTATAATAACAGGCATCCCTTTATATGCTATACGTTTTTACAAAAAAGAGTTTAAAATGATCTGTTGACCATGAAACTCTTTTCATGATATCTAGTTTACATAATAAGCTACAGCATCTTTTGATAATTAGCTTATCACAGAAAAAACCTGCCCCATATCAGTTACAAGTGATCCCTATTTGGGCTAGGTTAGCTAAGACAGAGTAAAAGCAAAGTGGTTAATTAAGTACAGTCTTACTGATTGATTACAGGCGTTATTTTCCTGATCATTTCTTTAACACAAAACACTATGATCAGCTAACTTTCATCTTATACACAAAGGATTATATACACTCCTGGACACTTGGGACTTTGGCTTACCTACAAAGAATCAAAGGATTATGATAGTTTGGTTCATTTACTAACAGGGCATTCTTTAATTGAAAAATCAGTGAAAGCATAACATCCATAGGATTGATTCTGAAATATGGTGGACCTCATCATAAAGTTACAGTCACCTGAGGACTTCAGCAAGAGAGTGTCTCAGATTTCTAGAGCATGTTACCTCCAATATTCTTGTGACTATACATTCCAGACTTTACATTCACCCTTGTCAGGGATGATTGAAGTCAGTTTATTAACCCAGCAAGCACGATCTGGACTTGTAAGTGTCAGTTCCTCAGGAAATTCTATCCTTGCTACACTGGTGGATGGACCCAGAGCAAGTTTACAAAGGGATAGCTTCCTTCACCCTTTCCTGCCAAAATCTTGGTGATGGCTGTGTCCAAGTGTGACAGGGTTGGGACTCACCACCGCGGCACCTCCTGTTGGTCACTCTGGGAATTAGCTCAGTCCGAGTGGAGCACCCTCCACTGGTGGTGTCCCATCTATCACCCTCTGTTGGCATCTGGATCTGCGTTCCTCCCTTCTTGCAGGGTCCTCTTTAGGACACTACCTCTGGCAGTGCCCCCTAGTCCACACTCACACTCACCCCCTTCCAGGAGGTGTTATCAGCAGTTCTTCTCTTCGCCCCAGCCACAATGGCCAACCACACCCCAAAGTCTAACCCCTTTGGGCAGGGGTCTGGTGCAGTCCATGATGGCCACTCCTAAAGGCCAGGTGTAAGCGCAAGGGGGAAGTGGGGGACCCCGGCCCGCCCTCTAATCTGGGTCCCAACCCAGAGACCCTTTGGTGGCAGGCTTTCTGCCTGCTCTCCTTCTTTCCCCTTGTCTTTCTCTCTCCTTGGGCCGTTTCCCCTTTGGCCCCTTTGCACCAGCTAGGCCCTTTTCTCAGGGCCCGCAGCCTGCCAGGTACCAGGCGGGAGTTCCCTTCTGCTCCCTCCCGCCTGCGCAGCACTGTGCTGTCCCTGGTGCTAGTCTCCTAGCACAGGAGACAGACCTTCACCCTCTGAAGGCCTGGGAGAGACTGCCTACCTGCCTCTTGCCTGGGCACCCTTTATATAAGGCCTAGCCTGGCCCTGATTGTCTGCCTCTTGCTCAGCCCTAATTGGCTCCCCACAGGCCCTCTCTGGCTGCCTGTCTGCACAGCCGCTCTGGCCTGCTGTAGCCCAATCTGGCTTGGGGGTGGGGCACTGCCCCACCACACCAAGCAATGTTGTGGGGGTCACTTAGAGCATGTTCAGACACAAGGCATTTGGTGCTCAAGAGACTATTCCCTAAAAGTAAATGTTCTGGAGCTCAAAGGCCATCTGCTGAGCATGCAAAATATTCCAGTCTTTTCAAGGATCAACAGTTCAAAACATGACAAACAATACTACTGCCATGTGTTATATTAATAGGCAAGGAGGAGTAAGATCATCCCCTCTCTGTCAGGAGGGGATTAATCTGTGGAATTGGTGTGTACGGCATTCGCTTACTCCCATAGCCCTACATCTGCCAGGAACTCAGAATTGCTTAGTAGACCATCTCAGCAGGAAGTACTTGAACAATCATGAATAGTCTCTCAAAGATTCAGTCTTCTAAAGAATTTTCCTCAAGTATGGTATCCCTGACATAAGCTTCTTTGTCACCAACCTGAATAAAAAGTAGCAATTGTTTTGTTCAGAGGATGTGTGACCAGGGTTCTCTACTGGGTACATTTCTGATGCTAGGGCTGGTGCAAGCATTTCCACCAGTTCCATTAATTCCCAAAGTTCTCAGGAAACTAAAGTAGGATAAGGCCTCATTAATAATATAGCACTACCATGGGCCAGGCAGTTTTGGTATTCAGACATATCTCTAATTGCCCTACCAAATCTGATGGACATCATCTCTCAGAATTGAGGCTAGATCCTGCACCCTGAATCTCCATTTCTGTATCTGACACCAAGAATGTTGGCTGGTTGAATGTTACTGACGGAAACTGCTCATCTGAAGTGCAGGACACTTTGATACAAAGCAGAAAAGTGTGTATGAGTCCACTTATTAATCTAAGAGGCAAAGGTCCTCTATTTGGGCCAGTCAGCATCACCTGTGTGTTTTAGTGGCTACTATCTCATATTTTAGATTACTTATTCTCCTGGAAGCAATCTATTCTCTCCATTAGCGCGATTAGAGTCCACTTGGCTATAATATCAGCCTGCCACCTTTCCTTTCAGGGTTACATTATATTTTCACACCCCCTAGTCACTGAGTTTTTGGAGGTCTAATTCACATTTTTCATCTAGCTCAAGAACCGCCTTTTCCTCCTCCTTAGGATCTTAATGGAGCCTCCTTTTGAATCTGCTCTTTGAATCACTACTCCATTTAGATGGCATTCCTGATGGCCATTACCTTTGCTTGGAGGGTGGGGGGTGAAATTCAAGCTACTTACTCTGTATTCTGTGACAATGAACCTGCCCATCAGGACCATCCTACATTTCTATCTAAGGTCACATTTTCACCTGAACCTGTCAGTTCACCTGACTGTATGTTTCCCTAAATCTCATTGAACTCCAGGGGAAGTTAACAGATTTTGGATGTTTTTGAGAGCCTTATCATATTACCTTAGTAGAACAAAATGCTTTTGCAATTTACTGAGACTCTTTTCTCCCCCAGCCTTTGGGGGTAAGTCAAGGGGGGCAGGCCATCTCTACACAGAGACTATCTAAGAGAGTACCTAATTGCATAAGGACTTGCTACTAGTTGGCTAAGCAGTTTCATCCTCTGTATTAAAGCCCACTCACCTGGAGCCCAAGCAGCTACATTTGCATGCTTGAAGAATGTTCGAATCTCAGAGATTTGTAGCGGGGGCAATGTGGAATTCAGTACATGTGTTTATCCAACACTGCTGCATGGTTGCGATTGCTAGATCTGACTTCTAGCTAATCACCAGGTGTGTGATCCACATGAACAAATACTTGAAGACCAGTTCCTCACCTTACAGTAAGGTGGTTCTTTTAGATGTTTTGTCCATGTGGATCCCATCACCCTATCTCCTTCCTCACTACTATAGAGTCCTATATAGCGTGGAAAGTCTGTGCTGGTGAAGTAACTGAGTGATGTTTAGGTCCAGTGCCTTTTTCGCCCTGGGATGGGGAGGTATGAGGACACTTCTGGCTAATATTCCATTTCGCATGGCTGTGGCACATGCACAAGCATAACAGGATCCACATGGACAAACATCTTGAAGAACCAGTTGTTATAAGGTAAATAACTGTTTTTAGTCACATTTTGAACAAGTCAATTCTGTACATTTGATAGTGTACTTATGAAAGGTACTTTAATTAAAAATTTAAATGTTACTTTCAATGAACATTCAAGGGTTTATTTTGATAGTCTTCATGGAGGTGCCGAGTATATTACTTTGAGTGAGGATTTCAGGACTAGGGCCTAGTAAAGAAACTGCTTGAATCTGGGGTGAAAACACAAACCACTGATAAAAGAAAAAAATGCTGATCATATAGAATTTTTCTTATAACTACACAGATAAGTTAATGTACAAGAGTATGGTACATACGTTTATAAAGGTACACTTTTGAAGCAGTGAATGGAGATTTAGCCACATGATTTTTATTCACCTTATATAATTTTAATGTTACATTTTAAAGCCTTGACTCCACTATCCAGATTTAAGTAAATGGGAGAGATTATCAAAACTGAGATTCAAACATGGGGATACATTTCTTGCTCCGTATCCTCATGTTTGCACTATGTATGTTGAACTCAATTCATTTCAGCAAAATATATTTGTTGGTAAGTTTGTAAGGTTAAGGTTAAAGAAATACTGGCAACAAATGTATACTGTTATAGCGTGACACAATTGTCACATGAAACCAACTGATTTTTCCTATTCTAAGGTGGCTTTCCCATGAAATACTAATTGAGACATTTGCTGCTTTTTCTTGACCTTGTTTTCCACATAGGCAGTATGTAGGAGTTGGGTGTCTAGGTCTACAACAGTTCAGTCCTGAGGGCGTTCTGTGCCAAAAAATTAAAATTCTGCTCACAATATTTTAAAATTCTGCAAATTTATTTGTCAAAGAAATGTGGAGGCTCCAGCATGGCATTGGGGAGCACAAGCCACTGGCTGAATTGAGGTGGGAAATCACTGTGCAACTACCGCCCACCCCGCCTGGCATGGACTCAGTGGTGAGGCTGCACCCAACCCTGGCACAGTGCAAGGACGGGGCCTGCCCCAGAAACACTCCAGGGCCCTGCCCCTCCATGCCAGGTGCACCAGGTAGGCTTAGCAAGGCAGGATCCAAATGTGGAGGGGCTTAGCATGGGGGGGATCCAGGTGTGGGTTGAGAGGGTTCTATGTGGGGCAATCTGGGTGGAGGCGTCTCAGTGGGGGATGCACAGGGGGGTTAGGGGGTTTTGGGTGCAATGGTAATGGGACTCTGCAAAGGGGTCCAGTGTAGGTGGTTGGGCTCAGCAGGGGGTCGGTGTGTGGGATATAGAGCTCAGCAGGGGTGTGTGGGTGTAGGGGGGCTCAATGGGGGGTCCAGATTCATAGAATATCAGAGTTGGAAGGGACCTCAGGAGGTCATCTAGTCCAACCCCCTGCTCAAAGCAGGACCAATCCCCAATTTTGCCCCAGAACCCCCTAAATGGCCCCCTCAAGGATTGAACTCACAACCTTGGGTTTAGCAGGCCAATGCTCAAACCACTGAGCTATCCCTCCCCCTGAATGCTGGGGGAATAGGGCTTAGTGGGGTGGAGATCCAGGTGTAACTGGTTGGGGCTTGGTGGCGTGGGGATCTGGGTGCAGGTGGCTTGTCCAGGGGGAGTGTGGGGGGATGAGGCTCAGCAGGAGGGTCTGGGTATGAATGGGGCACATAGATGTGGGAGCAGCTCCCTGTAGAGGGATCCTTCCCACTGCAGCTGAGGAGCGATGGGTGCAGGAAGCAGGGGGGCATTGCAGAGCTTCCTGCAGCCAGGGGAGAAGTCTGGTGGTGGGTCTGACCTGATCCTGGATGCCATGCATGGGAAGAGGAAGTCCCGTCCTCCCCAGCCCAGACTAGCAGCTGAGCTGAGCTGGCACAGGGTAGGAGTCATAAGCTGGGTCTTCCCCCGTTCTGCCTCCTGCCCCACAATGTTTTACCTCTTTGCCAGCTGCCCTGGGCGCCCGAAACATACTGCTGGGGAGGATCGAATGACTGCTCTTGTGGCTTCCCTTTGCATCAGAAAGTCGTTTTTCTGTGGGAAAGCAAAGAAATCTGCCAGGGACATAAATTCTGTGCATGTGCAGTTGCGCAGAATTCCCCCAGGAGTAACAACAATGGAATCTTTAAATGCAGTGAAAGGGGAAGGTTTAAGCTGCTTTAAGCTGCTGCCCACATTTGGCTGAGGGTATGAATAATCACATCCTTGTGTGCTTGGGGCACATGTGCACCAAGTTACATCTGTACTTGTAGTTAGGGGTGTGATTCCCAGCTTGTGTAGACATACTTGCGATAGTTTGATAGTAGTGAAGGTCACAGTAGCATGTGCTGCAATAGTGGCATCATGGGCTAGGTGCCCTGAATATGTATCCACAGGGTCCTGGCTAGCCCATTCTGCTACTGCCTATGCTGCAGCTACACTACTATTTTTAGTGTGCCAGCTCAATGAGTGCTAGCATGAGTATCTTTATGTGATCTGGGAATCACAGCCTTATCTCCATGTGTTAATATACCTCAAAAGTGGAATTCATATGAACAATGTAACTTGAAGATCCACAGTTATTGTGAGATAAGTAAGCATTCTATCTTGTTATGACTTTTTCTGCGAGATTAAAGAACCATGTACTATGAGAAATTTCTTTTCTACCTAGGTATTTGTAGATTCTGATTATATCACCTCATAAACTTCTCTGGCATTACTTAAATAAATGAAGCTTCTTTGTCTCTCACTGTAAGGCAAATTTTCGAGACCTTAAATCATTCTTGTTAAAAATGTGTACCTTATTTCTGATGTGATTTTTTCAGGCTTTATCTTCCAGCTATTGGTTCTAATGCATTTCTCTACTAGAATAAAGAACCTAAGATCAATGAGTCATTAGTATGATAAATATTTCTCAAAATATTTAGAAGGGGAGATCCTTTCTTCAACCATCCACTCAAATTATTATAGGGAGGGGGAGTTCATGTAAGAGCTTTGACTTTCAGGAATTGAAGCTCCACATAAACACTTCGGAACAAGGACCCATCAGATCATCTCTTGGATTTTTATTCCTCAGATCAGAGGCAACCCTATGCAGATTTTCCTACAAAACATGGTTGCTGTGTACTGTATTAATAGGCAGGGAGAAGCTAGGTCTCCCCTACAGTCTTTGGAGGCATTGCATCTGTGAGATTGATGTATTTAGACTCATGGGACAATGTAGTGTCCTCATTCTTTGCTCTAGTGAGAAACTAGTTTAGCTTTCTGAAGTTTAAAGTTTTGTAGTTAGCATATTGTTAGGTTTTCTTTGCCATTTGACACTTTCTTTTTCTAGTTTAGTATAGTGATAGAGTTTCTTTTGTTTAGGAATTCCTCTCCTGGTACAGACCCTCCCTCAATATATCCTACTGTACAAGTACATACTCCCCTGTACATGATCCAAGATTATGGAACCCAAATTGCCAGGCTTCAGAATTTACCCATCATGAGGCTCAGCCATGGGAGTCAGCAACAGACATGCCACAGAGCCTATTTCTGGGAAAGGGCTATATACCAGCATGCTGCTGTATATGCAGATCATTCTTAAGGAGGACCCAGAAGAGCAGGGAGGTGAAACTGAAGCTCCTTCTCCTAGGGAGATCGATGCAGGTAGACTGTAACACAGGCAGAGTCAGATCCTCCAAAAATCTCTCGTTATTGGGCCCTTCCAGTTACTTCAGTGCTCCAACCAGCCTTGACACCACACCAAACTCCTGTGGTACCCAACTAAATCTCATATCAGCTGCACTACAGGTGACACCCAAGAGAGGTTGTAAAGAGCACCCCTCCAGAGACTCCAACCAGCACTGATTCCCCTGCATGGAACAGGGATGCAGAACCTTTCCTAAGATTTTGCCATGAGCAAATCTTAAAATGAAGTCCATATGGGTTGGTACCAATGGTCACTTTTAAACCAAGGACCACATTACTTCTGATGGCAAGTTGGTCACCAACACTTTGGCACCAACTATGCTGGTACCAAAGTCATTGACCTCAGCCAGGATGGTACTGTGTAATACCATTCTGCAATTCTGTGTATCCTTGACATTGGTGCCTGCGATGCTTTCTTGACACCCAGAACAGTAAGCCACTGTGTTACCCCTTTGCCTCAGCAAGAGAGAGTTTTGCTGGAGCTTAAACTGTGTGTATCAGCTCCTTGCCACACCAGTCTGTCTGCCTCACCAGGAAACTCTTTGAGACACTGCAGTCTTAATCTTGGCTTGCAGGAAACATTCAGTGAACCCCAGATCCTGAAACCCTGAAAAAGTGTTCCTCTGCAGTATCCAGTGCCTATCAGTGTACACTTGCAGAAACTACCAAGTCCACTGTCTCCAAAAGAACAGAAGATACACCAGCCTGCTGGCTCAACTGAGAATGCACACCTCACTTTAGTAGAACAGCACAGAGATTAATTTGTAATAAAACAAGAATGAGTTAATTAGTAAAGACTGGAGATCTAAAGTGATACTAAGCAGAGACAACAGAAACAAAAAATGGTTTCTTTCTAGTGTCTAAAACTTAACAGACTACAATTCTGATCTCAGGCAATTTCTCACCTCCACTCAGTTCTCAGCATCCTCAATCCACATGGTTGGGGGAGCCACCTTTCACAGAAGAGCCCTGGCCCCGTTGGCCCTAAAGTGATGGATAACACCACATTTCTTCCCTTTTGTAGTCCATAAATCTTTGAAGTGTATGCCTTGAAAAGTAAGACCAGACAAAGTTCCTCTCCCCTGATCCTTGTTCTTTGGAGTGTAGGTGCCAAGCTCCTTCTTCAATTTCAGGTCAATTTGCTTTTTTGATTGGCTTGATCACTTTGTTTCTCTGAGATGCAAATGTACTTTTATTTTCCCATGCTTGTAATCAAGCCAGGCTGTTTTGTCATCTGTCTGTTAGCTTGATCCATGTAGACAGATAAATCCACATTCCTTTGTCTAGGGCAGGCTTGTTTATAAGCTGCCTCCAAAACATTTTTAAGAACATATTTCCAGCACACATATGTAACTTTTTATACACAACCTATACATACACCACACAATCATGATCAGTTTTCAAGACACAGGCTAAATATTCTGATAACAATATTTTTGGTGTGCTCTTTGCCAGTTGGCATAAAGGGACTCTTAGGATCATAGTGCCCCGTATAACACTGAAGGACTCTACCAATGGTTCTAGGATCACCCCTATTTGATCAGCTCTGGGAAATTGTCATAAGGCTGCCTTGGTAATGACTTAAAGGCAGAGTGCAGCAGAAAGATCATTTCTGCCATTGGAGGAGGACTACCCCTTTTCTCCTTCAGAGGCCTGCAGCAGAGCCTCTGCTCCTGGGAACCTCCCTCATTTCTGTTGATGGCCCAATGGGAGTATGACATGGACCATGAACTTGAAACTCTTAAGGGAAGTGGAAGAACATCAAGGTTGCACAGAAAACCCCCATCTTGATACTCACTGATGTACTGGCCCAGGCCGTATTGATCCCTCTGAAGGATAGATCCATATACAAAGCAATCATCATTGTTCATGGTATCCGGAGCCAGGTCTCTCCCACTGATAATGTAAGTCTCGTTGGC